TTGTGTGGTGGTAATGGTTTATTTGATATTAGGAGCCAGGATAGATACGAAAGAGCTACGTGTGGCTTGATCCCTTAGTAGGGTACGTAGGCAGCCTGAAGTTACTAGGTGCAGCCACAGATTAGACCCCACTTAGGTGGTCTTATTGAGATTGGTTCGGACCTTGTTGTTGGTCCTGAAACTTGGTTGAATTGAGATGGGTCCTGTGGACTGAGTGAGTGAAGGTGTGCATAAATAGATTATGAATTTGTTATATGCATGTTTGATGCATTAAGTTATTTTAAAACTTTGTGGGCAGTTTTGCTAGAATCATTTGAAGGCCGGAGGCCCTTTATGTAAATTGCATGAGATTATATTGTGCATGCTGCCAGTTGGGTTATAAATGTGTTTTATGCAGGTGAAAATTTTGGGGAAATGTTCAATTTACAGGGGAGACTCTGCCGAAATTTCGGCAGAAAGTCTTGTGCCCTTAATCCTTTCTGGTAAACGAGGACTTAGATTTAAGGGGTGAACCCGGCGTGGGTGTGATGCCGGGGTCTCCGCAGGGTTCGTCTCGGGTTCCGGGAAATTCGGGACGGGTCCTGTCATGTCATTGGGCATCGAGCCCAATCAGCATCGCAATAACCAATTAGGTTCAACTTGTTCTGTGTAAAGAATAACAGCCCTTGCCCTGGAGCTCCTTTAAGGTAGTGAAGTAGACGATTTACAGCATCAAGATGTTGACGTTTAGGCTCTTGCATAAACTGACTGAGTGTATTGACTGCATAAGTAATTTCTGGCCTTGTAATTGTGAGATATATTAGCTTTCCAACTAAGCGTCGATACCTAGTAGGATCTTTGAGCAGTTCACCTGTAGAAGATAATGTTATATCAGGATCCATGGGAACCTTGGCTGGTTTAGCTCCAAATAGTCCAGCTTTTTCCAAAATGTCAAGAGTATACTTGCGTTGACATATAGAAATTCCAGTTTTCGACCGTGCCACCTCAACACCAAGGAAATATTTCAAGGGTCCGAGATCTTTGATTCGGAATTGGCTGCCAAGGAAATGCTTCAATTTACAGATTACCTCCTCATCATTCCCTGTGACGATCATGTCATCTACATAGAGCAATATAATAGTCAGGGAACTTCCATGTACCTGTGTGAACAGAGAGTAATCTGCCCTAGATTGCTTGAAACCAATGCCACATATAGTAGATGAAAACTTTCGAAACCAGCTCCGTGGAGCTTGTTTCAGTCCATACAAGGACTTGTGAAGTCGACATACAACATGATGCTCCCCCTTTTGACGTGAACCAGGCGGAGGTAACATGTAAACCTCCTCGTGGAGGTCGCCATGGAGAAACGCGTTCTGAACGTCCATTTGATGAAGAGACCATTGGCGAGCAGCCACAACTGTGAGTAAGCAGCGAACAATGATTAACTTAGCAACCGGAGCAAATGTGTCAGTGAAGTCAATACCTTCACGTTGGTTGAACCCCTGGGCAACAAGGCGGGCCTTGTAACGATCAACGGAGCCATCGGAGTGGTATTTAATCCGAAAAATCCACTTGGAACCAATGGGATGATGACCGGGAGGCAGAGGAACCAGCGACCAGGTGTGGTTGTCTTCAAGAGCTTGCAGCTCAGAGTTCATCGCAGCAACCCATTTAGGGTCATGACAGGCCTGTTCATATGAAGAAGGCTCTACCAATCGGGATATATTACACACATAATTCCGATAAGTAGGAGAGAGACCAGAGTAAGATACATATCGATGAAGGGCATACCTGGTTCCAAATGTGGAGGAAGAAGCGACTCCGGGCGTGAGCAAGGCGGTGTGATGAGCTTCATAGTCTCGAAGATAGGAAGGAGGACGTGGGACACGCGCAGACCGGCGAGGGAATGAGGATGAGTCAAGGGAGGAGGATGAGGCTGTGAAGGTTCAAGGGAGGACGACTGCTGGTCAATCGAAGAAGAGTTGGAGAACTAGAGCCGCCATTGAGAGAAGGGAGATTCGGTGTGGAGATTGGGGAAGTAGGGTTTGGAAGGATATCGGAATGGGAGATTTGCTTATCAGAGTGGGCCGGGTTTGGTGGAGGTAAGTGTGGTGAATGTGGGCCTGGAGTCATCAGGCCTAGGAGAAAAAGAAGGTCTGAAGTGGTAGGAGGAGTAGGCAGAATGGGTTGGTCTGTGGGAGGGTTAGAATGGGAGTGAGAAAACGGAAATGAGTGTTCATGAAAAATGACATCCCGAGACACAAAATATTTCTTTGTTTCAAAATCAAAGACATAATAGCCTTTCTGACGAAGAGGATACCCTAGAAAAAGACAACGACGAGCCCGGGTGTCAAATTTGTGAGTAGGGGTTAAGGTGAGTGGCATAGCAAAGGCACCCGAAAACCCGTAGGTGAGAATAAGAAGGTGATTTCCCATGTAATCGCTCATAAGGGGTTTTATGAGAGAGTAAGGGGGTGAGGAGTCGATTTATGAGGTAACATGTTGTTTGAAGACTGTCTCCCCAAAATTGCAAGGGCAAGTTAGCTTGGAACTGAAGTGCGCGACCAATTTTTAAGAGATGACGATGTTTGCGTTCAACGACCCTATTTTGTTGAGGAGTATATGTGCAAGAATGTTGAAAATTAGTGCCATGTTCAAGAAAGAATGGACGCATGGATAGGAATTCGCTACCATTGTCAGAATGAAGAGTTTTAATGGAGCGATTAAATTGAGTGGTGACCCAATAAAAAAATGATTTCAAAATGGTTTGTGTATTAGATTTAAAATTCATAAGATGAACCCAAGTGAAACGAGTGAAATCATCAACAATTGTCAAAAAATAACGTGCCCCAGAATGTGTACGGGTATTATGAGGGCCCCAAATGTCACAATGAATAAGATCAAAAGGTGCAACTGTTTTAATTGAACTAGAAGTAAATGGTAATCTGGTTTGTTTAGCCAAAGGGCAAACATCACAAATGTGCTCAGAATGAAACATTATTTCAGGAATGGTCTTGGATAAAGAGTGAAGGGGTGTAGATGACGGATGTCCGAGACGTTGATGCCAAAGCGTGGAGGTACGATGAACATGAGTAGCAAGGTGAGAATTTTGGGTAGGCGTGAGGTAGTAAAGCCCATCAAAATGCTTGCCCAGGCCAATCGTCTTCTTCGTATCCACGTCCTGCACAACACAAAAATTTGGAAAGAAAATTACTATACATCGAAGAGCTCGCGTTAATTTATTAACAGATAACAAGTTAACACTTGGAACATATGTAGAACTCCATCAAGAGACAAGTCGGGCGATAGATTCATAGATCCAATGTTACGTATTGCTGCCTGTTCTCCGTTGGGCAAACTAACAAATTCATGATGTGTGGCAGTTTGATTATGTGTAGGAGCCGAATGAGAAATGTGATCGGTGGCCCCGCTATCCACAATCCAATATAGCGTGGAGTGTGGATCATGTTGTGCAATATTACAAGTGGGTGTAATGATACCTGTTGCATGTGCTAGAGGCTGACTGTTACCCTTCTTATTACGAAGCATAGCAATAAGTTCGTCGTACTCCTCAGTGGTGAAGGTTGGGCCATCAACGGGGGTTGTCTTGGTGATGGCAGTAGGTTGGACTGGTGACTGAATGGCTTCAATGTTGTGAGCTGTTGGACCGGAACGCTGGTTTCTAGGCTTAACATTTTTGCCATGCCATTTATGGCCCACAGTGAAACCAATAATATAGTAGTATCGTTCTTTCAGATGACCATCTCCATCGCAATATGAGCACTTTAGGGATTTGCGGGATTGTGACCAACCTGTGGAGGGAGTGGCGGCCACCGAAGAACGACCGGTTTGCATCACATGTGGAGTAACCAGATTGTCATGCTTGCTGGTCACCTCTAGCTGGCGCTCGTGTTGGAGAACCAGGCCGTGAACTTTGCGTGTGTCAGGTAAGGGATTCATCATGAGAATTGATCCTCGAACCGTAGAGTAGGTGTTGCTCAAACCCATCAAAAATTGCATCACCCTTTCTTTCTCTTCTCTCTCAGCAAGGTTTTTTAGTCCTTCACAGTCACAGATAAAGGGCTCTTGGTATGAAGCCAACTCATCCCAAAGAGCTTTCAACTTTGTGTAATAGATGGAGATAGTTTGCGTTCCTTGTCTGCACTCGACAATTTCTTGTCGAATCTGATAAATTCTGGCGTCCTTGCTCTGTGAAAAACGATCTCGAAGATTTGTCCAAACAGCCGCCGCTGTTTTAGCATAAAGGACATTGCTGGCGATGTCTGGATGAAGAGAGTGCAAGATCCATGACAGGACCATGTCATTGCAGCGCTGCCAGATTGAGAATTTCGGGTCATTGGATGAAGAGGCCTTGACTGATCCATCAACCAATCCAAGCTTGTTCTTGGCGCTGAGGCTGAGATGCATAGATCTGCTCCATTGGCCATAATTGTGACCTTCGAGTTTGATGTTAACTAGGGAAAGTCCTGGTGTGTCGGAGTTGTACAAAGACAGAGGATCGGGAGAGATAGGATTCAGATTTTAATTCACTCATGATGTTGTGTTTCAATGGTGTTTGTAGTACGTTTGTGGTTGTAGCGGAAGATGTTTGGGCAGAGTCACCAAGATAGGTGCTCTGATACCATGAGAAAGTTTAATGTATTATATATATATAATTTAACTTCAACCAGATACAGCAGCTTTATACATATAGAGTACGTCTATTCTAAGTAAATACATACTAATTATTTGCTAATTATATTCGGATCCTACAATCTCTCAATCTCATATAATTGACTGATTTTCTTTCCTTTAACACTTCTCCATGGAAATATCCATTTCCTTTGACTTTATTTGAAATGTGTGCAGCCAATTTTCAAATCAGTATGTATAGGTGTAGAGTTAAACTTGACCAAAAGAAAATTATGCAATCACTCAAATAATTGACGTGACGATAAAATAAAAGAAAGAAAAGCAAAAGAACTTGTCCGAAAATGAAATGATGCCCTCCTTCCTCTTCAAAAGAAATCACTCATTGACCGACGACTTGGACTTCCATTGTTAACATACTGCAAATCATCAAACAGTTACATTCAGCAATCAAATATTCAAAGCGGCAGTGTGTCCAATAAGTAATTCAAATGATTAGAACAGAGAATTTCTTTTTATCTTTTCTATTAGGTACGAGAGGATAATAATTCTCATGTCTAAATTTCTTTTCCATTGCAAAAATACATGTATATGCTGCAATATACATTTTGCTGTTTTCTAAATCTTGTTTTTTTACTCAAAACGAACGAATTTAATCAAGCGGAGAAGAAGCAAGAATAAAAACATTTTCTTTTTACTCGCCTAAAAATTACAGCTCCCGTAACATTATTTTTCTTTTTGACTCAGACATGGGACAATGTTGTGTATTAATTAAATGTCTGAAATCCAATTGGGATACAAAGAAAGCTAATTAATTAGTAAATTGTAATGGTATCTCATTGGACGCATTAATTGCCATCTTAGGTTTTCAGTAACGTTAACATAAGCATTAAGCAACAAAAACTTATCATTAAAATCCAATAGCAAGCTTATTTCATTTATTATCGCACCTTTGAAGCTATATACAAATACAATATGTATCGGCAATATAGGATTTTGGTTATTATTTGTCTTCTTGAAACTAATTAATTTACTTTTTGATATGAACATCTCAACGGTTCATTAGTATTTAATTAGCTGTTTAAGTCTTAATATGATTGACAAGCCTCTTCACCACCCCATCTCTCCATGCACGTTTTTGTAAAACTTAATTCCTCTTGTTGTGGCCTCTATATGTAAACCCTTGAATTCTCCCTTCCTCACACATCACATCGATCTCTCAATCATCCAAAGTGAAAATGGCAGCTTCCAACTTCTTCCTTCTCACTATTCTTGCTTTGTCGACGACCATGCCACTATTCATAGCCACCACTAGTGCTTGCTTTTTGAACTATAACCCGATTGGATCGAACGAGAACCTCGAAGCCAAGTTGAATTTGGACGAAGAATCATCAAATTGCTGGGACTCTTTGTTTCAGCTCCAGGCATGTTCTGGTCAGGTTGTCATGTTTTTTTCTGAATGGTGAGACTTACTTAGGGGATGGTTGTTGCGAAGCCATTCGAACCATTGAGCATCAGTGTTGGCCTGCCTTGCTTGGCATGCTAGAGTTTACAACCAAGGAGACTGATGTACTCAAGGGTTATTGTGATGAAGCCCATCATATTCAATTCCCTCCGTCAACACCATCACCACATGCTATTGATAAACCTATTAATTAATAGAACAGTTTTGGTCTGTAGAAGTTGGTTCCTTGAAGAATTTGTTTTTTTGCGGTAAGATTATAAAAAAATTATGTATGCATGTTTGCTATTTTAATAAATTAATAATTAGTAAGGCTTTGTTTGGTCTTGCTATATATTCAATTCTAGCGTCTATAATTCGGGAATGATTATATGTCTTAATTGGCTTTTAATTAGCCATTATGTCAATCGCTTATAATTTGTGATGTTGGTGTTTGAAAAACGACACATGCAATATGGATGTAGTTATGAAAAAGAGAGATGAAGGCCAAAGCAATATAATTAAAAACACTAGCCATACAAATTAAAATGGAAATCTTAAGAGACTGGAACTTTCATTTATGTATGTAACACAAAACATGGTCGTAGAATTTGTGATACATTTGTGTATTAAGGGATGCAAGTTGCAACAATGGATGCCTCTTTGACAAATTGCTATAGAATTTTAAAATTTTTTCTAATTACATTTTTCGTTTCTTTTCTCATCGTAAACAAAAGTTATTTTTTCTTCTATTTATTGATGAATCATAAGTAAACACTGTAGAGAAAGGAAAAATCCATAATTTGATCAATTGTTCTCTTTTACTCCATATTTATCTTGAGGAAAAGTTCAAGTAATTGCCTTGATATGTCCTTCTATTAAATCTCACCACTGTGTTCATCAAATATTAAAAAAATAAAAAAATCTCACCAATGTTTTACCAAGAAACCGACCATTCAAATAATTGGCACGGCGTGGGGGGCCCCTATAATTGGTCTATGAGCAGAACTTGTCTGAAATGAAATGATGCCCTCCTTCCCCTTGATTGAAAAGCAAAAGAAATTACTCATTGACCCAAGAAGACTTGGACTCCCATTGGGGACCAGAGAACCTGTGTGCTTACTGAAACTACACGGTTTCGACCTTCTCTCCCTCTATCTCTCTGCCGGTAAGGCCGTTTGACACCTCTAATTGTGATGAAGTTGATCGTATTCAATCCCCTCCCTCGACACCACCATCACCATCCGCTGCTGATAATTCTATTTGAAAATACCTATAGGATGGCTTAAAACACTAATAGAGTAAAGTCTGCGTTTTGAGTAATCAAGAGTAATACAGTAATATATAAAAACACGCCAAAAGGATTGATACATCGTATCAATCCTCTACAGTACACAACGTAAAAACAGATAAAAACACATAAGTTATTTTACGTGGTAAAACCCTACCTCTAGGGAAAATCCACGAGACCTGATAGTCCAAGGCAAATCCACTATAGAACAATAATTACAAGAAGTATACAAACTTGTTCTAAACACTCTAGACAACATACTAACTTCTTCGTAACTCAACTTCTCGCGGGATGATCTTTTAACACTCCTTATGTTGAACGCAATACTGGTCACAATTGCTTCAAGCTCACAGAAGTTCTTCCAACTCTCCTTATGTTGAATCCGATACTGGTCACGATCGATTCAAGCTCACTGGAGAGAAACCGCTACAATGGTCTTTGTGCCCTGAACCGTATGAGTCACCGAACATACAAATGAATGCAATATGAATACAAAAATAAATCACCAAGGTAATCTTACTCTTGATGATTTATCCTTCTGGAAAATAAAGCACGACAACTTTCTTTTGTGTATATGAAAACTCAAGAAATATTCTAGTCATTGAAAGTTGTGATCGAATGAAAACCAAGCCTTGCTTTTTATAAAGGTTTTCAAAATTGGAAACAAGATCAATTAGTTCCTAATCAACAGATTAATTTGCCAGAATCAGACTAATTGATTTTCAATCAAAGAAGACTTTTTAATGTTCAGAACAGGAAAGCAATTTAATCTTTCTTAAAATAAAAATTCTTCTTAATCAAAATGTTAAGAAGATTATGAGTTTGAAATAATGCTTGAAATACCATAATCAAAATGCATGATTGAATGAAGAATTTACCTTAGTAATCGTTTATTGACATATGAGCCTTCAGAGCATATCTTGGAATTTAGACAACCACCATCACAACTAATTTACCATCTATACTTAATCTAATTTGTCTCTAGGAAATGCCAATCACAAAATCAATACTAACAATATTAATTAACAAAACAGTTGCTCCTCATTTGGCAAAGTTGGTTCCTCGAGAATTGTTTTTTGTATTTTGTTTTGTTTCAGTGTAAGATTCATGTACGCATGTCTTGCTATTTTAATAAATAATAATTAGTAAGGTTTTGTTTGGTCTTGCTATATTCAATTCTAACCTCTATTAGCTTTAATTGGCCATTATGTCATCACTTATAATTTGTGATGTCATTGGTGTTAGAAAAACTACACATGCAATGTGGATGTAGTTATGAAAAGGAGAGATGGAGACCAAAACAATATAATTAAGAACACCACTTATAAAATTTAAAATAAAAATAAAATGAAATATGATACATTTGCGTATTAAGTGATGCAATGGATGCCTAAGTCTTAGTCTAAAATATTTGTTTGCAAAGGACGAGACCCTTGATTAAGCAAAGCCTCTTCGAAATTGCTTTACAACTTTTAAATTTTTTCTAATTACATTTTTCGCTCTTGATGACTTCTACAATAAACCCCCAACCTATAGGGTCATTTACGAGTTCATACCTGATTTTGGGGATATTTATGGGTACATACACAACGTCGCGCAAACTTACAGATCGCCTCCTCCGTTAGTGAATCCGTCAGGAAATCCGTTATCTGCCTACGTGGCATTTGTGGGACCCTTTTTTTAACTGATGTGAACTTCCACGTGGACAAAAAACTAATAAAAAATTATTTTTAAAATAATAAAAAAATTAAATTAAAAAAAAGTAAATAAAATAAAATAAAATTACTGTTTAAATTATTTAAATCTCTCTCTCTCTCTCTCTCTCTCTCTCTTTCTCTCTCTCTCTGAGAACTCAAACCCATAACACTCTCTTTCTCTCTCTTCCTCATAGCTTTCGTCAACGACCCAAAGGGCGACGACCGTGATCATGGATCCTCCCAGAATCCTCTTTGATTCTTTACTCTGCTTAAAAAAACTCAGTTCCAAAAAAAATGGCTCAGTTCCTGAATGACTTTCTTGAGGATAACTTGCAAAGCACAAGTTCCG